TTTGGTTTTTCAAGACAGGGTTTCTCTGTGTAGCTTTATGCCTTTCCTGGATCTCGCTCTGTAGCCCAGGCTGGCCTTGAACTCACAGAGATCCACCTGGCTCTTGCCTCCCAAGTGCTGGGATTAAAGGCGTGCGCCACCACCGCCCTGCGTTGCGCCACAGCAGTTATGAGGAGTTTTCTCAGAGCTTAACTCCAGGAGGGTTCAGGAATAAGGACAGAGTGTCAAGAAAAGAATGTTGGAGACTCTTAGTTTAAGATGTGTTACATTCATCAATGCTTTGGAATATTTGCTTAATGAGACAAAGATGTGTTGCATGCTTTTTTTTTTCTTTTTTTAAATTTTATTTTTAATTATGTGTGTGTGAATATGTGCAGATGTCTGTGGGAACCAGAAGAAAGTGTCAGATCTCCTGTGATCTGCCTGATGTGGGTGCTGGGAATTGAACCCGGGTCCTCTGGAAGAGCAGCCAGTGCTCTTAACCCCTGAGCCATCTCTCCAGCCCCGTGTTGCATTCTTTTATGCTGCATTTGTTTAACTCTGTGAAGCTGTGTTGCTTTGCCTGCCTAAAACACCTGATGGTCTAATAAAGAGCTGAACAGCCAATAACTAGGTAGGAGAAAGGATAGGAGGGGCTGGCATGCAGTGAGAATAAATAGGAGAAATCTAAAGCGTGATCGTGAAAAGGAGGAGAGGAGGACACCAGGGGCCAGCCACAGACTAAGAAGGAAACAAAGATATGTAGACTAGAGAAAGGTAAAAAGCCCAGAGGCAAACATAGTTAAAGAGAAATGGGGTAATTTAAGTTAGAAAGCTGCCTAGAAACAAGTCAAGCTAAGGCCAGACATTCATAAGTAAGAATAAATCTCCAGCCGGGCGGTGGTGGCGCACACCTTTAATCCCAGCACTGGGAGGCAGAGCCAGGTGGATCTCTGTGAGTTCAAGGCCAGTGAGATCTAGGACAGGCACCAAAACTACACAGAGAAACCCTGTCTCCGCCCCCTCCCCCAAAAAAGAATAAGTCTCCGTGTATTTATTTGGTGGCAGGCCCCCAAAGAGTAAAAAAATACCAACTACAAAAGAGTATTAATGACCTGAGTTGGGTGCTTTTCCCCAACTTCAAGTTCATGTTTTATTTATATGCATTGGGTTTGACAAAAAATTTCCCTGCAGAGGAAAAACACAGACGTGCAGTTTGTTGGTGGGGTCAGGTCTATCAGAAAGCAACTGATAGAGCTTTGAATTTGAGATTTAAATCCTTCCCTTCTATCTCTTGTCTTGAATTAAAATAATACAGTTTGATCACAAGGAGAAAACAACCCTAAGAATGCTTGATTCTTTCCAGGTATCGACACAGACCCTCTAGAACCTCTTTTACCCGCAATCTTCCCACTCCGGGTCTGACAAAATCAACACCAACAAACAAATGCTTCAATAGTTACTCTCTGTTTTTAGCTCTTATGTTTACAAGGACTCCTTCCAAGCTGCTATCTATCACTTATTAACTTCTACCAAATATACCCAATATTAGGCTCTTTTTTTTTTTTTTACAAATCCCTGTATCTTTATTTTCCTTTGTACATCTGTGACTCCAGACAGGATCCAAAGAGGAGGAGGTGTACAGCTCTTCTCTGGGTTTGATGAAGAGTTTCTTTACCCTTCTGTGTGAGCCTCTTAAGGTACAGCACCAACCTTAAAAGAGCACAGGAAAGGGCGGAAAAACCTTTTATCCTGATTCTGTCTCTCCTTTCTTCACCTGAGTCCAATACACAAAAACAGGATACCATACTGTTAAGCAATAACAAGGATTTGCCTCCAGGATCACAAGGACAGAATTCAATAAAAGACAACTATTTCCATCATCTCAGCCCCAAAGACCATGAGTGTATAATCAAGGCCTCTCCATCCCTCCTCCTGAAGTGCTTCCACACCACACAGCTTAAGGCTTCCAGTGGACTGCATGTTTTACCTCTCCCTGGGCCCACCCCCTCCCTCCGTGGGTTATTCTATTTTGTCACCAGGCCCCAGATACTAACTGATCATAAAAACAAGTGGACTGACTACTCTGATATCAGATTTTAAAAAAAAAGACTTTCAGACAAAAACTGTTACTAGAAACAAAGACATGTGAAGGCAAAGGCTAGCTCAGTCTTTAAGATGTAGACTATTTTACCTAACAAGAGAACCACACAATGAAGTAAATCTGATAAGTAAAGGGAAAACAGACAATTCATCCATAGTTGTTAGGGATTTCAAGACCTCACTTTCAATGAGTCAGCATGAGAAGAGAAAACTGAAACAACACTACAAACCAGCCAGAGCTAACATGCTAACAAAATAATACATGACAGCAGCAGAGAACACATTCTCAAATGCACACGGAAGAGTCTTCAGAACAAAGCCACACATCAAGTTAAAATAAACCTCACTATGTTTTTTTAAATAATCAAATCACAGGGCCATCCCAGAAAAATGGTTCAGCAGCTGAGCACAGTCACTTTTCTTGCAGAGGACCAGAGTTCAGTTCCCAGAGTCCACGTCAGGCAGTCCCAAACTGCCCGCCCATGACTCCAGCTCTAGGTGGACCAGAGTTCAGTTCCCAGAATCCACATCAGGCAGTCCCAAACTGCCTGCCCATGACTCCAGCTCTAGGCGATCTGATGCCCTCTTCTGGCCTCCTCAGGCACCTGGACCCACATGCACAGACACACACAGAGACACAGACATATACACACAGACACATAATTTAAAATAATAAAAATTCATTTAAAAAATTCAATCTTGAGAAGCATGTTCTCTGATTACAGTGCATTAAAATTAGCCATCAAAAACAGGAAGGGCTGGTGAGACAGCCCAGCAGGTAAGAGCGTTTGTCTTTCTTGTAGATGACCGAGGTCTGGTTCCCAGAATCCATCCACATGGTGGCTCTTCACTATCCACGACTCCAGTTCCAGGGGATCTGACCCCTCCTCTGACCTTCACCAGCACCAGACACACACACAGCATTCAAACATACATGCAGGCAAAATACTAAACACACATAAAATGAATCGCTTTTAAATGATTTTTTTTAAAAAAAGGAAATCTGGAAATTTTACAAATGTGGAAATTAATAATAAACTACTAAATAACCACAGGTCAATGAAAAATTAGGTAATGAGGGAAATTACTGTGAGTCTAGGCACATTAATTCCGTGGGTGCACATGAAGTCAGAAAACAACTTCAGGTTTTCGGTTCGTCCCTTCTACTTTTTTTGAAACTGGGTCTCCTCTCATTCACGTTTACCAGGCTAGCTGGCCCATAAGCGTCTGGAGCCTCCTGCCTCCCCCTCCAACTAACGGGAGGATCAACTAGGACCACAGATGCCTACGCTCTGTCCAACGTGAATGTGCGTTCTGGGGATCTGAACTCAGGTCACCAGGCCTGTCTTACCCACTGAACCACGCCTCCAGTCCAACTAGAGAAATCAGAAAATACTTCCAGCCGGGCGGTGGTGGCGCACGCCTTTAATCCCAGCACTCGGGAGGCAAGAGGCAGGTGGATCTTCGTGAGTTCGAGGCCAGCCTGGTCTATAGAGCGAGATCCAGGAAAGGTGCAAAGCTACACAGAGAAACCCTGTCTCGGAAAAGAAGAAAATACTTCCAGGGGCTGGTGAGATACACCAGCAGTTGGGAGTACTAATTGTTCTTCCAGAGGACCCGAGTTCAATTCCCAGCACCCACATGGTCCATAATTCCAGTCCAGGGAATCTGACACCCTCCTCTGGCATCTTCAGGCACTGCAAACATGTGGTGCATAGACACATGCAGGGTCAAAATACCCATGCACATAAAATAGTTGTTTTTTTTTTTTTTTTCAAATAAAAATACTTTCAGGTAAATTGAAAAAAAAAATGCAACACAACAAAACTTATAGAATGCAGCTAATTCAGTGCATAAAGGGGAAATTTATAGTTCTAAAGGCCTTTTTTAAAAAGTTATTGGGCCAGGAAGATGGCTCAGCAGGTAAGAACTTTGCCACCAAGCCTGAAGACCTGAGTGTGAACCCCAGAACCCACATGGCAGGACTCCTGGGTCCTTGGATCTCAATGCAACACACACACACACACACACACACACACACACACACACACACACACACACGAATGTAATTTTTAAGCTAAAAAAAAATCAATACCACAGTAAAAGAAGTAAGGGGAAAAAAAGACATCTCAGCAGATACTAAGAAAATATTTAACAGAACCAAACACCCTCTAATAATCAAGAGACTCAGCAAACTAGGATTACATTTCTCAATCTGACAAACAGCACCGATATTACAAAACCCACAGCTAACACCATCCGGAAGGTGAAGAGGAGGACTGTTCCCCTAAGACCAGCAACAAACACACCCACATAGCCCACTGAACCACAAAAAAATTCTGAAAAGTCTGCAAAATCTCTCCATGTCCCTCATTATCAACCTTATCAAAACCAAGGGTTGCTAACTGTTAGGTGTGTGCGTGTGTTTCGTCTGCTGCAGGAGCATGCCCAGAAAAGCCAGAGGTTGACCTGAAGATGGATGTCTTCCTTCTCCACCTGAATTTTTCTGAGACAATGTCTCTCGCTGAATCTAGAGCTCACTCATTCTCTGCGAAGCTGGTGACCAGTGAGCCTGGGATTCCCCTCAACACAACTCCACCCGGTGCCAGAGCTGAAGGGCACTGCAAGCCTCGCATGTACACATGTAGACATTGGCATTTACACTGCGTGTGAGGGCTCCAACTCCAGATCACGCACGCACTTTACCCACTGAACCAACCACCACCACCACCAGCACCCCCCAGGGCCCTAATGCTTGATTTTAAGGGAGACGTGTGTATTTTGAAATTACCTCTCATCTACAATTTGCTTCTCTTCCCATAAACCCCATCTCAGTAACTTAGCGGACACAGCCAGAAACTTATGACTGTTCTAGATTCTTCCCACATCCCACCCCTCTCCACAGCTAATCAGGAAAGTCATACCCATTTTAGCTCTAACTTCCTACTTGCCCCATTCAGGACCAACTTCTGTATCCTTACCACTGTCGTTTCTCCTGCCTGCTTTTTGTCCCCTGTCGCCTGAACTATACACTATCAGGTAAATCTGTATTTTTTTTCTAACAGTCTCACCACTGAAAAGCCTTCAGTGACTTTTGCACCCCTGCAGCAGTCCTTGGGACCCAGTTGTCTACGGCGGGCATTATTTCACATCACACCCTTGGCTCACTTTATTATGCCCTGGGCAGCAGAGCTCCTGTCCACGCTGTTTTCACATCTCATCTGCTTAAACTATTTGCTCGGCCTCTAAAGACTTTCCCAACAACCCAAGAAGAGACAATCTCTCCCTCCCTTTGTTCTGCATGTGTGCTCCGATAAGCAATAGGCTTCTACTGTGAATTAAGTTTGTGGGTTCTCTCCCTTCAAAGACAACCAAAACTCTGAAGTTCATTGAGAACCTCCATAGAGCTTTTTCGCTCCCGAGCGGGTACACTCACTACACTACGGTTGGATCAATGAACCATGAGCATGACAGCACTACTTTAAATCCACAGAACAAGGAGATAATCAGAACTGGTTCGTCCAACAGCCGCAACGTTTAAATGGTCTTCTTAAAAATGCAATGCAGTTTCCAAAAACTGTGTGTGTGTGTGTGTGTGTGTGTGTGCGTCCCTAAACATGTCAACAGCAACAATAAAACCATCTACAAACACTTAAAGAGCAAAACCTCTGCCACCTGATTACGTGTGTGTGTGTGTGTGTGTGTGTGTGTACACACACACACACACACACACTTTGGATCCTGATCCTTCACTATCTCTAGAGTTTACAAGAATGCCTTTTGTATTGTTACTACAATACAAAAAGGAGGGAGGAAACTACCGTTAAAGCATCTCAAAAGGGCACTCTTTATTGGGGAAAAATAATGCAGAATTAAAATCTCAGCTCTGGCCCCAGCTTAGGCATCCTCTTAAGCCAAGAAGTTTCATCAGCAAGAAACTCCAGTTTCCGGCAGTCAGAAGCACCACGTGTAACTGACCCCCCGTTCAAAATAAATAAACGTTCAGGCAAATCTGACTCGGAAGTGGGGAACGATGCGGGCCCCTCCGGGACTTCCACGTTGCCTTCCGGGTCCCCGGGCCCCCTTCGGCTCGCCGCGGTCGAGCACAGGCCGACGAAGCTCCAGGTTTCCCCCGCCGCAGCCACTCGGCCCCGCCGGGCCCGCGGCTCCCGGGCCCAGGACTCACCCCGCGCAGCT